ACGGAAAAAAAATCAATTAACAAACGGAGACGTAACATAAGGTTTAAAATTATTCCTGAAGAGGATATATCCAAAATGTAACTACTGGTGAAAATATTAAAGCTATAAAAGACTTTCCTATTTCAAAGAACTATAAAGAGTTAGGTGTGTGTTAGATATAATCAGCTCCCAGAGTTGTGCTTAGCGCTGCTATATTTATAGGAGTGACTAATGGATGGACGCTATATTTGAAAATTCTTAGCGTTTGCAGGTAGCATTGCTCCATTTCTGTTTCAATTGATAACACAAGATCTTCCTATGAACCAACTAGTATATATTTCATGTTCGATAATTAGTAAAGAAAATCTTAGACATATATATTATTATAAATCGTAATATTATGTTATATATATATTTATAATAAAATATAATAGTATTATATAATTTTGTATAATATATTGTAGATAATTATACTTATACTGCACTTTGCTTATGAAAAACAATCAAACATTTTATGTGATGCAGTTGCTGTCGTGAACTTTTTGCGTCAGGATTGAACTTTTTCTCTACAGCAACCAGATGTCATTTATTTTCGGTAGGAAAGCCCTAACATGCGCAATAAACAATGAATTCGACCTAAGAAAAAAAGATGAACGGAAAGAGAAGCTTAGCACAGTAGAATGGCTCACCTGTAGCCGACTGTTGGAGCTGCCGCAACAAGTAAGTTGTAATAAATTGTTAAGATTTTTCGTTTTATGGATAGTAACAATTATTGTTGTTTCTGAAAATTAAAACATCTAATGAGAGAATGAGACTTGAAATAAGCTTCAGCATAACATCCACAGTAAACATGTACAACATACTATTTTGCATTCACTAGTTTAGCTTTGTATTGTTTATTTTTACTGATCCTATCTGGGTGTGACTGTGCACTGGATGGACCAAGAGAGCCTGAGGAGGTAATATGCAACGCTCGCTTACCGCCGTCTTTCTGGCCACCAAAACTACGACTTGATCACCAAGGAACTGGAAGCATTTCATATCAAATCTTGCATTCAAAACAAGATTACTAAGACAACTAATGACAATTAATCCAACTTTGTCAAGGAATTCAGGTTAATTACAGTATTTTTATAGTATATTTTGCATATTTTGTTTATAAGTACATTTATATCAATGAATAATATATATATATATATATATATATTATTCATAATCTATATTAATAACACTCTTGCGTTTGTTTGTCTGTCCGGACCTTTTCTTGTAAATTTATCAATCAAACACTACGAATCTACTATTGTGTCCGAGGAGTCCGGATTTCATATTGGCTTGACCAAATTATAATGAGTAATTTACGTTGAATTTCGTACTTCTTGGAGGGGTGGCGAAAAATTAGAGAAGACGAGATACCTAGAGAGAAATTCTCACAATTCTCTCTCACTAGGTGAAATTCAGGATAACAATTTCGAGAAGCTGGTGCAACTGAAATTAAATAATAAACTAAAATATTAATATACTTGAACAAATAATTAGGGACGTAATATCTTCTAATACTAGATATTTATCATTTCATATTAGCTAATTAGCTCATTAATTATTATTATTATTGTCATCATGTTTTTCTTGTTTTTGTTTTTGACGTTGTAGTCTTTAATTACCATCTTTTAATGTATCGATGGCTTATGGTTGTTAGCTGCTTTCCTCTCATCATTCACAAATATGGATAGGCTGTTATTGTAACAATAAATTATTACCATTTACCAATAAAATTTAGTTTTTCATTTTTCATTCTTACATTTTTTATTGTCGAAAAAAATCATAAAAAATGTCAGTTTCAAAAGTAGCGGTAGCGATAGCGCCACAATACTTATAAACTGGGAGCAATCGTATGTCATTACATATGTTACTCGAGAGCTGAATTAAGCAGAAAGTAATTATAAAGTTCCAGAATTAGAATCCTTAATATAGTTTGGGCTTTAGAAAATATTCGGGATGCATCTTAATTAATTATCACTGATTGTGCTGTATTGAAATGATTACAAACAGCTCTAAAGTTAGTTAACCAGTCTGTTAATGCATTGACCTTTAAAATTATAGAACATCCCCTTCTTTATTATTAATAGCAATGGAAAAGAGAATCGGTTACCTGGCTCTCACTCTCTCTTCAGGCGTCCTTTTGATCCTCCAGAAGAAATTCTAGATTTTGATCTCGGATAGTTGTCACAAACTTTTTGTTATTGTTGAAAATAGTCTACTGAACTAGCTTGAGACGATGATAATTAACATGAATATGCTTATTTAAAAACTGAGTAATTGGCTGAAAATCCATCTGTGACTGTAGAGACTAAATAAATTAAAACTTTGTCTTGAATAACAACATTCTTTTTTTATACCAGGAGAGTTGTTTGTAGTGGTGAATTTTGATCAAATGTTTCATAAATAGTAACAATTACTATATTAACCAAATTACGTGATTATCATACTGACGGTCATTTAGGAGTGTAAAAAACAGTTGAAAAGTATTGTTACGTCTCCATTCGGTAATTAACTTTCCG